GACTTATATACCGCTTCATAGGCTTTTAGCCCTCTCTAAGCAGTTTACAGAGTCAGCATATTGCCCCCAACAACAATCCGGGTCCTCATTTTACCCACCTCAGAAGGATGAAAGGCTGAGTCAACTCTGAGCCGGTGAGATTTGAACTGCAGAACTGCAGTCAGCTGAAGTAGCCTGCAGTCCTGCATTTAACCACTGCGCCACCTCGGTAGATCAGGTAACAGTTTAGGTGCTTCAGATCCAGGATTGCCCTCCATCCCCCCGAGCTCTTCGGGACCACAAAAAGGTTGGAGTATGGGCTCAGCCCATAGTCTTCCTCTGGGACCGATTCCACAATCCGGATATCTAGCAAATGTTGGATGGCTAGACTCATTAGACTGCATCAATCCGGATCCTGAGATGGGGAAAAGATCCTGAAGAGAGTCAGGGGGAGGGAGAGAAATTCCAACTGAAGACCATCCCTGATGGTGGACCTGAAGCATCCGACGTTATCTGGTCCCATTGATCCACTAGGGACGCTAGGTGGCCGCCGATGGGCTGACTCGGATTGGAGTCATTTCCCTTTGTGGAAGGGGCGCCCCCCCCCCAACAAAAGGGCCACTTTTACTGACCTTGGTACCTTCCCCTGTCCTGATAAAAAGGACGATGGCCCTGCCTGTCAGACCTATAAGGGGTGTACCGCTGGTGTCGATACTCCAGTTCAGGAGGACAGTAAGAAGAAGAAGGCCTATGGTAAGGAGCTGGACAGGAGTCCTGCTTCTTGATGTTATAGGGTAGGACCTTTTTCTTGTCCTTGTTCTCCACGAGAATCGGGTCAAGTGATTCCCCGAAGAGATTGGGGCCGGAGTAAGGGGCCGCTGCCAAATTCTATTTCGACTTGTCCGTTTGCCAGTTGCGGAGCCATAAGAAGTGCCGCAATGTTACTGAGATGGACAAAGCCCGGGAAGCAAATTTGATAGAGTCTAAGGTGGCTTCAGCTGAAAACTGTGTAGCTGAAATAATTTTGGTGAGGTCTTGGTGAAGATGCTCATCCTGAATTGGGATGCGGTCCTGTAATTGATGCAGCCACATAACCGTGGTGCGATTAAAATAGGACACTGCACACTTATCCTGGGGCTTTAATTTGTCAGCTACATCACCTGAGACCACGGTAGAAGCATTAGCGAGAAGAGCAATGGGGCGTCCACTGTTGGCAATTGGAGAGCCTGGGAGAAAGCCTGTTCCATATTATAGAAGCGGCAGTCATTACTCCCAGGATTGGGCAAAGAGGAAGGTCGAGCCCACTGGTTCTTAACCACTTCCAGAAAGAGAGGAGGGGCTGGAAACTCCTCCTTATCTGTATTAGGATTGATAAACATAGCCAGGTTGGGATCCCTATGTTGGGAAACAGGTGGAGCCCCAGTATCAATCTTAGTAGTCGTCTTCACCTTATGCAGAAGAGGCTTAAATGCCAGGGGTGCAAAGAAACCAGGAAAGGCTGGGGGATCAGGAGGGACGTTGTCCTCATCCTCAGAAAACCCCAAGTCAGGATGTGCCCCCTCCCCTAATACTGAGCCCTCGCGGACCACTGATGGAGAAGGGGCCCTAGGTGGACCCTGACCATGGGCAGAGGAAAGAGACCTAGGACGCCTGGAATCAGAATGAGGTCTAGCCACCC